TGCCAAATTATTCGATTTACTGTACAGGCAATTTTATTTCATGTGAAATCAATTGAGTGGTTGCCTTAACGGGAAGACTGTTTACATGGTGCCTTCACCAACAACGCAATATCCAGCCATTTGCCTCGGCTGTTAGGCTCGTTGTTTAGTGACTTAATACACGTTTAGGGACCTTTATGAATTTGGGAATTAATGCTGTCATAGCACATAATTCATACCTGTCAAGTGTTTCCGCAAGTTGAATTATGACTTTAATATTGAGCCGGGTTAGAACTATTAGCTTTACTTTTTCCATTAAAGCACATTAATTGTATGGAATCAAATTCACATGCCAAAGCCAATGACATAATGTTTATTTATATGGAGGTGAGATGAAAAGGGGTTTAACTTCGGGTTATACTCCAAGCTGAGCATGTCTTATCGTATGCCTTTATTACACAGCGCCAGGCAAAGGAAGCAACAAGCATCATTTTTAACTTGATGTGAACGGGAAGCAAAACAGCTACAGTAAAACACCGTTATGTCGAACTTTCATGTCTTGAACTTGCTGTTGTTTCGAAGTTGAACTCAAAGTCTCTCATTATTCCTAATATAGTCACCATTTCCGGTTGTGTCGAACATCGGATAACTCGAAGCACTTACCTAGGTCTGAAGTTTTGTCTTGAAGTTGAAGTCTGGTCCCTCATTTTTTCTTGTCTAATCATACTTTCCGGTTAGGGCGAACATCGGATAACTCGAAGTGTTTTCGTACGTCCCGTCACCTTCGAAACAACTACATTAGACCTACCGATCCCGGGAGACGTTCCTTCTGCTTCTATCAAACAGCGACTATCGTCAAATCTATGTTACTCTACGGGATTATAGCGTTGAGATTGTTGAGGAATCGGAACAATATGTAATGAGTACCCAGACATGATATTTCTGGAATACTGGTAAACGTAGAGATGTCGGAAAAGACAACACATGTGTACTGGAAGTGGGGAGATATTCCTGGCAAAGATACCATTAAACAGCGACATCAGTATTGAGATGATAGGATAAGGAAACTACGTACCTATTATCTAGGATCCAGTAATACCAGATATACGATGCTGAGGTCATCATAAGCTCTTAATAAAGTGAGTGTTATTCATATTGCTTCGTCCATTCTCTCAACGCCATATTGATAATTAATAATATGAGATATTTATAAAGCGCACATATCCAGGCAACTAGTGCATGCTCAAGGCGCTGGTATATTTTTTCTCTCGATCATTGGATGTCAATCTCAACGGCACATCGTATTATCAATATCAACTCCCTGGGGAGTATACAACTCTTGCAGCCACTAGGCGCACCGAGTTATTGTGGCTTTCTCATCCTAACGAGGTACCCATTCACAGCTGGGTGGACTGGGACACATAGTCACAGTACTTTGTCTAAGTTCACTGCATGTTACTGTACCCGCAACTAGGTGTTTGCACGTATTCATGTGGCCACCATCTGGTCATATACCAACGGATTCGTGTGTTGTTTTGAGTGCACAGGGTTGTGTACTGTACACTAGGAGTTGTGACAACACTGAAAGAGTCTGCACACAAAGTTGACTCCAAGGTTTTTACACCCGGTCACAGGTGGGCTCGATACCGGCACCTCAACCTCGCTGGATCACTAGCCTGGCGCCTTAGCCAACTCGCCCATATTTACAGTATATACATTTTTTTGTGAAATCATATAAGAACATGCAAACAGAAAGCTGTAAATTATTTTACCTGGACTGAAATAAATGTCCCAGACAGATCCCGAACTTAATTAAGGGAGAAAAGGGAAAAGTGAATATGAAAATATTATGAATAGAACCGACTCTCATATTGGCCGATTAATATTGCCTTCATTTCTTTGACGTGACAGGTAATATTAATAACCACGTAATATTAAAAACATTTAATAACTAGCATTCACGTCATCACAGTAGATATTGCCAATATGGAGCGAAATAGTTTTGTTTGTTTGTTGTTTTACGCCGCACTCAGCAATATTTCAGCGATATGGCGTCGGTCAGTAAATAATCCAGTGATCAACAGCATGAGCATCGATCTACGCAATTGGGAACTGATGACATGTGCCAACCAAGTCAGCGAGCCTGACAACCCGATCCCGTTTGTTGCCTCTTGCAACAAGCATGACTTTCTGGTGAGCAATTCTAACCCGGATCTTCACGGGTAGAAACGAAACAGTATGGTTTTATAGATGGTATTCATGGCAGCTTATACCACTGCAACCTTCAAACCTATATTATCTTTAAAGTCTTAAAACTTAAGTTAGTTCAGAATCAATAACATTCAAAACTCACTTAAAGTTAAAACAAAAACAAGCCAAGCTTGGAAATAAAAACAACGCTCAAGCACATTAAGTAAATACACTTTGGAAAGATCACATCTTTTAACACACTGTTGTGTAAGAAAATGACCTACTTGAACAGGTAAGCACAAACTCATTTTGAAATCTGATGCATCGTTAAATAGGAATTTATGTGAAACATAGAAGCAAACTTATAATGGAGAAATACATTACTTGATCGATACAAGCCTTGGAAACAAAACATGTAAAACCTACAAGCATGTGTGTTTTTAACTCTATGCCATGTTGTTAATGTCATGAGCATGATTGACAGTTGAGGAATAATGTTAATTGCTTGTCTGAAGTGTATTGCGAAAGTCATTACTGCCCACGTCAACAAATCGTCTCCGTGATCAGGTGGATGTTGCAAGTGCAAGAGAACGCAGCGTCGTTTCGAGCCAATGGTCGCAGCAAACTGAAAATGGTCAATAGGTGTTACTTGTTGTTACTTTGTCTGGAGCTTAGTATTCATGGGATACAGCAATGGTCGGAATCAGTGTACGGATTCAGTTGTGAGCTGGAAGATATGTGGGAAGTTACACACCATGGATTTAGTGAGTATTGTTGTTTTACGCCGCTTTCAGCAATATTCCAGCAATATCACGTCGGAGTGGGCGGGTTGGGTAGCTAGTGGTTAAAGCGTTCGCTCGTCATACCGAAGACCCGGATTTGATTCCCCTGCCTTGATATTGCTGGAATATTGCTAAAAGCGGCATAAAACCATACTTACTCACTCACTCCCGCCGGAGGACACCAGGAATTGGTTTGACACATTGTGGGGAATCGAAACCGGATTTTCATGTAGATGAGCGAACCCTACCCCACCACCCTGCATTTGGATTTAAATGTTTGCGCTCCAAACAACTTCAACTTCAATAGCATACTTTCATTTGGACACTATTATTACAGACAAAACATATAAGCCCTTTTTAACGTAAATGTTTGCCGACATCATCATCATCATCATCATCATCATCATCATCATCATCATCATCATGTCATGTATCATGAAAGTTGATGATGTAAAATGCATATATCGATCATCACGACAGTCAAGGACACAGTTATGGGCTCCTAAACCCAGGAATAGCATTAGCATGAAACCGGTATTCTGTCTTACATGGATTGTGTGGACATCAACGCTTGCAATAGCTACCATCCATTTAGGAGATAAACATCATGTGTTGGCCAATTTCCGGGTGTTATTGAGTATTTGAATCACGGGAATTCATTTGGAACCGACGGCGTTTCAAATGAAATATTCCCGTGCTTCAAATACTCAATAACACCCGGAAATTGACAAACAAATGATGTTTATCGACATTGTAAACACAAAAGTAAACCAAAAGGTCCACACACGTTTTTGTGTCTGCACTCAATGACATCGAGTACGGGTACGGCAGTGAAATATCATCAGCCGGCCGTTTCGGCTGTTTCCCATGGTAGCATCTGGAACTGCTCATTTGTGACGTCAGTCGGACTTTACGTCACAATATGATTTTAATGACGTCATCACAGCTGACGACGTAACAATACAATGGTGTGAGCGATGTTTGCATGTATTAATACGCAGCGAATTTCCGGGAATCGAATACCATTTGATCACGTTTTCAACCAATCAGATTAAAGAACACAGTGACTTTTGGTTTACAATGTGCATGGATTCATCTGTAACCGAAGGAGTAGTCGTTTGATTGCTGACCACGTGTGTTCAATATATTGTAATATTGTTTCAACAGATATGCATTGATACTGACCAATGGAATCTGTTTCGACGGATAATCGATATAATGTTGATAATCTGGCGCTGCAGTTTATATTGACATTAACGTTGGGCGATACCCATCCCCTATTTGTGGACCTACGCTTAATATTCTGGGGCTTTGATTTTTGTTGCACACATAATCTCTTCAACAGACACACTGCTTTACTTTGAACTAAGCATACAGAGTGGCGAATGATTGTGATAGCAATTTGATTTTCAATTTATTTGCTTCATAATAATTTCAGTTTTTGAGTAGATAGAGTAAATCTGTTTAATGCATATCACGTTTGCGATAGGTTTGTATTCAGCTAAAAACCAAACACCCTACCCCCTTTCCTCAGTTCCACACCATACCCGCTTATCCCTTCACTCAACATCACAACCAAAAGTTCATACCCCTTTCTTCCCACGTCGCATCGCACCGAATAGTCATACACTTAGACACCACACCGCACTCGCACCGCACCGAAGTCATACACTTAGACACCACACCGCACTCGCACCGCACCGAAGTCATACACTTAGACACCACACCGCACTCGCACCGCACCGAATAGTCATACACTTAGACACCGCACCGCACCGCACCGAATAGTCATACACTTAGACACCGCACCGCACCGCACCGAATAGTCATACACTTAGACACCACACCGCACTCGCACCGCACCGAAGTCATACACTTAGACACCACGAAGCACTCGCACCGCACCGAATAGTCATACACTTAAACACCGCACCGCACTCGTACCGCAACGCACCGCACCGCACACGCACCGCACCGCAACGCACTGTGACCGCAACGCACCGTGTATAATGACCTTCTGATCTTATATACTGAATATCCTTATTGCAGCTAAAGTGAAGAAATCCTGCGTCATGGACGGTTCCACGTACCGTGACGGGGAGCAGTTTAAGCCTGATTGCAAGCGCCTGTGTACGTGCCAGAACGGTTACTATGGGTGTGTCAGTCTGTGCCCCCAGGAAGACAGCAAGCCGTCCCTCAAGAACTGTAAGAACCCTGCCCTCCTCCCTGTCCCGGGCAAATGTTGCAAGGAGTGGACTTGTGACAAGTTAGAGGACTTCGCATACAGAGACAGCTCCATGGCGCTCGAGAGCCAGAACCTCGTCATGTACAGGCCCTTTGTTTGTAAGTACCCGTATCATGTTTTATTGGATCTTGTTATGCACAGACCCTTTGTTTGTATGTACTCGTATCATGTTTTATTGGATCTTGTTATGCACAGACCCTTTGTTTGTAAGTACCCGTATCATGTTTTATTGGATCTTATTATGCACAGACCCTTTGTTTGTAAGTACCCGTATCATGTTTTATTGGATCTTGTAATGTACAGACCCTTTCTTTGTAAGTATCCGTACCCATGTCCTGTGGGATGTCGTAGCGTAGAGACTGTTAGTAAGTACCCCTACACATATTCTTTGTAATGGTCAGGCCAGTTGTACGTACCCGTATCCTTGTACGTATCCGTATCCATGTTCTGTGGAACCTGGTCATGCACGTACCATTGTTTAAAATTATCAAACATCGTGGTATGTGGCAGCTTGTAATGTACAGACCCATTGTTTGTAAGCATCCGTACTCGTGTTCTCTGGGGCCTTGTAACGTACAAACCCTTTGATCCTTAGTATCCACACTATTGTTCTCTGGGGCCATGTAATGTAGCGACCCATTCTTTGTAAGTATCCATACTATTGATCTCCGAGGCCTTGTAATGTACGTACCCTTTGTTTCTAAGCATTCGTACTGTCATTCTTTCAGGCCTTGTTGTGTACAAACGCTTTGTTTCTAAATATCCTACCTATTGTTCTAGGGCCTTGTCATGTGGGATCCTTGTTAAGTACAGTACAACCAGAAATTATTGAGAATTTAAAGATTGTAATTTTTTTAAAATTTTTCACTCATTACTCACGTATTAAATGTGAATATTAGCAGAACATAACTCCAGATTCAAAGACAGGTGAACAGTTAGTATTTTGTCAAGTCATCATGGGCAGCAATGCAGGCTTCAATGCGGCGGGGCATACTACTGATCAAAGAAGTTAGAAAGTCGTGGTCCATGCTGTCCCAATATCGGACCACCTCTTCTTTCATTTCAGCAATATTTGTCAGATTTTTCTTATTGACACTTTCCTTCATAAGTCCCCAAACATTTTCTATTGGATTTAGGTCAGGGCAATAGCTTGGCCAATCTAATAATGTCATATTTTGGGTCCGAAACCAGGCCTGTGAAGGCTTTGAACGATGTTTTGGGTCGTTGTCCTGCTGGAAAATCCAAAAATTTCCATAGAACACGTGAGCAGATGGAAGTAAATGTCCCTCGAGAACATCTGTGTACCGCTCACTGTTCATATTCCCCTCAAATACACAGAGGGGCGTTGCCCCTAACACAGATATGTCACCCCACGCGTTAAATTTCGGACTGTACTTTTGGCGCTGATACAAAGGTTTTTCAGTTTGTTTGGTACAGAATTTCAGTGTATTATTAAAAACAGCCACACAGAACTTTCATCTGAGAAAATCACATTGTCCCAGTTAAAATTTCTATGCTGTAAGCACCAGTTCAACCTTCGCTCCTTTTGTTCAGGTTTCATGATCGGTGATGGAATTCCTCGACTTTTCTGCCAACCCATTGCATGCAGCTCAGTTCTTATTGTCTCCTTACAGACAGCCACAGTTCCTCTATCAATCATATCCAGCCTTAAGTTTTCTAAACTCTTTCGTTTGTTTTTAGAAACAAGAATACCAAGCCGCCTCCTGTCCCCGACAGTCAATTTTCAGGGCCTACCTGCGCCTCCCTGGTGCTCAATGCCATATCCATTTGCAATATTTTTCAAAATACGATAAACAGTGGTCAAGGGGATGTCTGTTCTACTTGAAATCACTTTAACTGATCTGATGTCCTTGTAATAATACTCTAAAATCAACTACCTCTTCTCTAAATCATCCATACTGAGGATCACTGAAAATGTCGTCTGCTAGCAAGTAAACAAAGGGGATAACTCTTCAGAAACTAGCGAAAAAGGATTAACGGAGTTGTTTCTCTTGAATGAAACCAAGCACTTGATAGCTGATCAAGGTTGTTTATACCAGAAATCCAATTAAACATATTCCTAAAATTCTCAATAATTTCTGGTCATACTATATATGTGCCACTGTTCTGTGGGGCCTTGTCTTGTCATGCTAAAAACTCTGTACGTGTTTTGACCAAATGTTTTTAGCATCTTATCATGCACAGACACGGTGTTTGTAAGTGTCCGAACTAGAGTTTTGTTCAACCTTATTTCGCACACAACCCTTCTTTGTTATTTCCTGAACAAGAGTTATATGATACTTGGTCATGTTCACTTCTTTGTAAGCATCCCTATTCGTGTCTTGAGAGGATTTGGAGTATGACATTGTCATGTAAGTGTATTACCCCTTTGCATGTAAGAATTATAATTTTATCCATGGACCAGAGGTGGATTATTGTTAAGTTTAGAATGTTTACCTGTTAACGTGCTGATTTCATGCATTTGTTGTTGTTGTCGTAAGGGGCGGTGGGGTAGCCGAGCAGTTAAAGCGTTCGGTTGTCACGCCAAGGACCCGGGTTCGATTAACCACATGGGTATAATGTGTGAAGCCCAGTTCTGGTGATATTGCTGGAATATTGCTGAACGCGGCGTAAAACTAAACTCACTCACTAGCACGTGGCATTCTGTCTATCAGGAACGTAACTGGGGCAAACATCAAAGACAATCTAAGAAAGGAATTGTATACCTACTGTTTTCATGGCAACATGATACGTAAATACAAAATAATACATTTTCTCCAATGAAACTACTGATGTCATTTCAGCCCCTCAAACAATGACAACTCCAAAGCCAGTCGTGACAACGCCGCCATGTCACTTGACGTCAACGGACTGGACGCCTTGCTCTGTAACCTGCGGCGTGGGCGTTTCTGTCAGGGTCATCGCCGACGTCATCAACTGCAAAGCAGAGCAGGAACGTAGAGTGTGTTTTCTCAGGCCTTGTGGCGAAGAAATTTCTACTCTGGTAATTATGACAAATTTTTAGCGGACGAACATGTGCAAAAAATATCACAGAATAGCTTTGTATCAATTACGTCGTCACTGTAATGCTCTGATGTATTGAAGAATGTATCATTAGCCAATGACAAGTTGTGCTAATTTATCAGATCTGCTGTATATTAAACAATTTCATGATTAACCTCAATGCACTAGTTCAGAGCGAATGAACAGAATCGGTGATCTGAGGTACGACGTTTCAGTAGAGGACACAGAACAATGGTAACCGGCAACATTTGGTAATAACCAAAATTGTGATAACAATTGTGACAACTGATAACTACAGAATAACATATATAATATAAATATGTTACACTCATACGTAATTACAGCTAGTCTGAATGGGTAAGTTGTGTTTAAGCGCAGCAATAGAACGGTATTGCAATCATACTACGAAAGTTAAAATATGCAGTCACAATAATCAATTTTCGTCAAAATGACCAACAAAAACGAATATGCGACAAGAACCCTCAAGCTGATCCTGTTAGGAGTAAGGGACATAACCCTGCTCAATGAAATCCGTCCTTTTACACAGGGTGATCAGCCAAGGATCCCTACCACAGCTCGTATTTATAAAACGTTGTCATAATGTTCAAAGAGATCATTAACATTGAAATCATTTGGCAGTTTGAATTAATAACATTCCCTTGAACTTTTTTTTCCGAATTGACAGAAGATGCTGGTTTCATCTTATGCTGTCCAAAACGAAATTCAATATATATTGAATATGAAATTGAGTTTTTGGTTTTCTCAAAACAGATGTGCATTTACTGTGTTTGATGTTTCGAGAACGCCCCGAGAATAAAGGATTAAGCCCCTTTAACATAATTGCTCAAGAATAACAACGCGATCCCATATAATCTTGACAGGCTTTAACAAGCTGAAAGAAGATGTGACGTATTGAGGAATCTGAAGTTTGAATGACGTCCTCTTCTTTGATAATCTTCTCCGGTCTTTTAACCAGCCATAGCGTATGATCAGAAAGTTTATCAAATTATCTGGTCAATTTCATTGCCACAAGTGCCTATTTCCTAACCAAAGCTGTGTTCAATTTCTTCCACTTACAATTTCGTCCAGAAAATTACCTCAATTTCCCAGTCGCCTAGCCGCCATGATGCAGTTAATTGCTTGTTTCTTCCGTCCATTAAGGAACATCTTTTAAAAAGGCGTTAATGCATATCCGCTAGCCCACTGATCTTTCTCTGTCAGCTGCAAAACGAGAACTCCATAAGTGGTTTAAAAACACCCCTCCTGGATGTAAACATTTGACGCCATCTGACGTCATTACTCTGTGAACGTTGTTTGCTTTATACGTTTTAAAGGTTGCGTTATCTTTCTGCGAAAAGGCGGTTAACTTCAACAAACAAACATTGTAGTGGTTGATATCGTGAGCAGAGACCAACGGGTCAGGGTATGTTGACACGCTAGCGAATCGGAACATCCAGATTCATTAATTTTGGTCATAATATTTCTTTATTTTCTTTATTTCTGAACTGTAGGCCAGAGGCCCATAATACAAGTAAAAAACAGTTACAATGGGTGTGTGGTACAAGCGCGTTTGCGTTTTAACAGTGCATGGTGTATAAACGTAGCAATATTCTGAAGTAGCTGTACATTTTCTGTTGACATTAGTATGCTGAATTTGTAAAATGTGGGACAGGGGGTGTACTTAGATGGTATATAATACTTTCTTAGGTCTTCATACTGTGGACAGATGAGAAGGACATGGTATTCATCTTCAGTAATATTCCTGTCACACATTTTGCAGGATTGGTTCTCAGTAACATGACATATTCTTTTAAAATACATTAAATCATAGTAGCCACATCGAAACTGCGATAACGATACTCTTAATTTCCTTATACTTACGTCTGTTAAATACTTTTAACACATAAAATGTTGTTTAAACAATGAATACGAATATGAACATTTTCCAGTTTGAATATTTCTGGTCCACGCTTACATCCTTACATCGTTGTTGAAATAGAAATAACGAAATAAAGAAATAAAACATTTTTTGGTCATACAACAAACACAGGTGTCTGTGACTGAGAACCAGTACTCACCATTGACTCACTACATTGTGAGTGAGTGAGTTAGGTTTTACGCAGCTATGAGCAACAGCCAAGCATCACGGCGAGGAACACCAGAAATAGGCTTCACATATTGTACTCATTTGGAGAATCGAACCCGGATCTTTAGCGAGACAAACGATTGCAGGTACCACTGCACCTAATGGGCTGTCTACCCCGCCCACCCCATCCCAGCATCCCTCACGTTACGTTCTCACATCAGCGATGCAACTTTGCGCGGCTCTTACTCTTTCAAATATGGTTAACCTAAACAAGTAAGCGTTTTTTGTTTCTTTGTTTCTTTCGGTCCTTTTCGTAGTTAAACGCACGCTCAGTAACAGTACAACTATAGGACAAGAGTTCCAATCCCGGATGGGTCTCAGCCCAACAAAAGTACTAGAATCTGTACTTTACTAAGAAACTGTACTCCCAAATATAACATATATTATAATGTTATACATGACAAGGGTCTGAAAGTAATCGAGTTTGGTCCAAACAACAGCAATTCGTAGTATGGTCATCAGAATTTTCATTGAAATAGAAGTGGAGAGATTACAATTTTGAAAAAGCAGTTCCACAAAGTAAATACGTTGATCACGTTTCTCAATACGTTTTTCATACATTCCATAGAGAGACAGCGTCATGACCCTCGAAAGCCAGATCCTTGCGATCAGGGCCGTTCTTTGCACGCATTTTAGAACCGATGTTCTTTGGGATCTCCCCAAATACAGACTGCTTTTTGAAAAAAGTGTAAGCAATTTAAAAATGTATGTATTTTACCATTTTCAAAACAAAGAGAAGATGATAGAATTTCGTTGTAGTCACTGTGGATGCATAACCAGCATTCAGCCAATTCCATTGGATAATTCAGAATTTACCAACACTCCAGTCGAGTTTCCCGTCCACTTACTGGTTTCCCTGCGATAAGAAAAGAACCCACAGAATCATTCCCAAAATGAAACCCGTTAAGTATATTGAAAGATCAGACAGCTATTACGATAATGCCTGTCTGATGGCCCCTCACAAATTTTCCACCTGACATTGTCGAGAAAGGAGAATATACGATTTCCTTTATAAAACTCCGCGGGCGACATCGAAATAGTATTGCACAATATCAATGGAAAGGTTAATTAATGACAGTCCTATTCCGAGCGTGCGTCACTTGACAAACTGACAAAGACCAACACAAGTGGTAAATATCACGACCAGTTTCATATTGAATACAAGGATGACAGGTTCTTCTGTAGGCCATCTTGGGCAACTATTTCAACCTACCTTTTTTGCATCAACAGTATACAACAGCTTAGATTTGCTTGTAATGACGGATGACAAACCCTGTATAAAACACGTCGGAATACCTAAATCCTGGATAACTTTGGCGTGTCTAATGACATTGCATTTGCTTTTTGGTGGAAACAAAAATACACGGAGATAGGTTTTACTGTTGGTCATAGTGGGCAACTATACAACAGTATACAACAGTATACAACAGGTTGGATTTGCTTGTAATGACGGATGACAAACCCTGTATAAAACACGTCGGAATACCTAAATCCTGGATAACTTTGACGTGTCTAATGACATTGCATTTGCTTTTTGGTGGAAACAAAAATACACGGAGATAGGTTTTACTGTTGGTCATAGTGGGCAACTATACAACAGTATACAACAGGTTGGATTTGCTTGTAATGACGGATGACAAACCCTGTATAAAACACGTCGGAATACCTAAATCCTGGATAACTTTGACGTGTCTAATGACATTGCATTTGCTTTTTGGTGGAAACAAAAATACACGGAGATAGGTTTTACTGTTGGTCATAGTGGGCAACTATACAACAGTATACAACAGTATACAACAGGTTGGATTTGCTTGCAATGACGGATGACAAACCCTGTATAAAACACGTCGGAATACCTAAATCCTGGATAACTTTGACGTGTCTAATGACATTGCATTTGCTTTTTGGTGGAAACAAAAATACACGGAGATAGGTTTTACTGTTGGTCATAGTGGGCAACTATACAACAGTATACAACAGGTTGGATTTGCTTGCAATGACGGATGACAAACCCTGTATAAAACATGTCGGGAATACCTAAATCCTGGATAACTTTGACGTGTCTAATGACATTGCATTTGCTTTTGGTGGAAACAAAATACACGGAGATAGGTTTTACTGTTGGTCATAGTGGGCAACAGTATACAACAGTATACAACAGGTTGGATTTGCTTGCAATGACGGATGACAAACCCTGTATAAAACATGTCCCTGTATGGAAAACACGTCTAATGACAATACCTAAATCCTGGATAACTTTGACGTGTCTAATGACATTGCATTTGCTTTTTGGTGAAACATAAAAAAATACACGGAGATAGGTTGGCTTTTGGAACCAAAATACACGGAGATAGGGTTTTACTGTTGGTGCAATATACAGGTCATAGTGGCAATACAACAGTATACAATTGCAACAGTATACAACAGGTTGGATTTGCTTTAATGATGACAAACCCTGTATGAAACATGATCTACTGTTGGGCAATAGTCTTGGTTTCGTTGGCACAAGCGGAAACGAAGACTCTACAATACGAGATTAAATCTGAGCAGACACACAACCGAACAGTTTGAACACGCAGTCATGTATGAAACATGATCTACTGTTGGGCAATAGTTTTGGTTTCGTTGACACAAGCGGAAACGAAGACTCTACAATAAGAGATCAAATCTGAGTAGACACACAACCGAACAGTTTGAACACGCAGTCTCAAAGTTGGGGATCACTTGACCAAACAGTCAAGTTAAATAGCGCAGGAGAGATGAATTATATTGCAGTCAGATATAATTCCAAATTGGATCTGTTATCTTCCCTGGTTTGGCAGCATCTTACAGTT